GGGTGGGGGTGGCGGCGCGCGGCGGGGTGTGTGTGTAGTGTTAGTGCGGAAGAGTGACCAGTGGCCGCACGGCCGTGGCCCGCGGCGACCAAGCGGCGACCAGCGAGCGAGCGAGCCTCGGCCACCACCCGGCACGGCCGCACCCGGCCCGCACACAGCGCTCGATACCGGTCAGCTGTTCACGTGACGTCACTCCTTGTTGTGGGACCGAACTCTGTGCGTGGCGTCGGCGGACGCGTCAGCGGACCCAACGGTGGAACGTGGCGGAGGAAGCGAGCGTCCGCGAGCGCGCCAAGTGCAGTGATAGTGTATGGCGGAGCCGGCTGCTGCAAGCAAAACAAAGCCTGCCTTTTGTGTGTTTTTTTCTGTGATCAAGGAGTGCCTTATGTATACATTGAATTCTACCTGTTTGGCACCATTGTGGCGTTCCTTGGCATCGTGCGGCTCATCATCAGCAGACCATAAGCGAACGGATACCTGCACATAGCTGCCAGTCTCGGAGCAGGTAGGGTCAGAAGCGGCATACGCCGCGCGATTTCGGTCCCAAAGTTTCCCTCAGCTCGTTTGCCGGCAGCGCCAGGACAACGCCAGGGCAGCGCCACGGCGGTGGCGTGGGGCCCATTATACATTCATCGCGTTTTGAGCGGCCCGACCTGTTGCGCGCATGTAAACAAGGCAAAGGGTTGCGCAGCTCAGCGCAGCGCCGGCCGGGCGGCGGGGAGCAGCACACCGCAGCACACTTGTGAACTTACAAATAGATAGAGCAAACGCCACTCTTTGTTGAAACCTTGCGAAGCAAAATGCCAAATCATCGTAGGTACGTGCTTCTTACCTAAGAAGGATTTGGCGTTTTGCTTCGTAAGGTTGTAACTATGCTCGTCGTATCCACACGAAGAGTGGCTTTCGTAAGAGTGGTAGTGTGGTAGTGTAGTGGTAGTGTGGTCTGGGCCGAGGGCAGGTTGAACGTGGTGGACGTCCGTGCATGTGGCATCACGTATGCGGGTCAGGGCTATCTCAGGGTTAGGGCAGGGCTACAGCACGGCTACATCAGGGATACCGAAGGGCTACCGAAGGGCAGCCAAAGGGCTACCAAAGGACTACCAAATGGCTATTTTATCGAAAAGCAACCAAAGAGCAAAGATCTGCCAAATGGGTACTCTTTAGCCATCACAGTACTACCACAGGGCTATAAGAGAGCCATCGAACGGGAAAACAAACGATGTTTTTACCAAAGCACTACTGGGCTACCAAATGGTCAAGGGCTAGAACTCAGCGGTTTAGATCCTCATCGTCGCTCTTCTATGTGGCTAGGCGCGCCGCTGCTGCGCAGTCTTGTCAGGACGAGAGATGATGTCTGCGCGACCTGCTCGCCGCCTGCCCCCCACCCCTCACCCTCACGGCGACTCGCCGCAGCGAAACATCCTCTGGCTCAACGTCCAATTTTTAATTGCGGGTCCTGTATTTAGCGCTCGTTGGGTCGGCTCGGGTGAGGACGCGGGTGGGGGCGCCCGACCCGAAATAGAACACAAACATATTTTATAGTTGGGAAGAAAATATGGGGAGTAGCGGAGGACTGACACACACACACGCACTGCCCCATTCTCTCTCGCACGCGGTCCATCTCACTTCCTCTCCTGAGCTGCTGAAGGCACCGTGGGCTGCTCCCACTCTTCTCCCCTTGTTCTTGATTCCGACCCAAAATAACGCTTCTTTCAGCACCTTTCTCTCATTTTTGATCCGCTTGCTGTAGTCTGCCGGGGCCAAGTCCCCCTATCCTCACAGGGGCGCCACCACGTTCTGTCATCGCCGCGGAAAAAGGGATCCCCTTCCCCCTACATCATGCCCCGTCTCTCTCTCTCTCCCTCTCTCTCTCTCTCTCTCTCTCTCTCTCCCTCTCTCTCTCTCTCTC